AGTCGACGTGAGAAAATCCCGTGTAAACATCACGTAGAAAGCCCATAAAAAGACCACGCGGTAATTTTACAGTACACGCGGCGACTCTAATGCATCCTATCACTCTGACGTGCGCGCATATGCTCGTGTTCCTAACCAGTTACAGAAATTACACTGTACAAGGTAGGAGGGAGGTAGCGAACGCCGACCGACCGATTCTCGATCTCCCGACGTCGATCGCAGTAAAATAGATCGGATCGATTCGATCGCGCGCACACAAGCAGGAGGACTTGCTTGATTTTAATTAACGCACAGGCCCGTAATAGCTTCGTTACGACTGCTAGGTACAAGATAGTAAGAGTTGCCGGCGGAAATAAAAGGGGAATGTTAGCGTTTAATCGACGGGGAAGCTCGTATATGGAGGACATTTTTCACGTCAACGGCCCGAGAGCTCGAGTAGACTTTCGGTGTCGAAGTCATTAACCCGCGGCTGTTGCAACATTCTTTCACCGTCATATTTATGCTACGAGATGTAGCGAGGAATGGAGGATAGTGAAGAACATAACACCGTCGGCAGTGTTCTTTTGCTTTGATATTAAAACGTTCGGCGAAATGGTGCTATATAAGTCGGTAAAAATAAGAAAAAAGAACACTTCTCACGTTTGATCACCTCGAAATGATCAAACTTTCAACATTTTTCAAAATTTGGAGTTCTACACTTTCCTCACTTGAGAGGGGACGGTCGGAAATGTAAGAACCGCCGCTCCCTCGCATCTCTCCGAAACAGTTTGGCCGAGAATGCAAACACATTAAGCGCGCGGAAAATAACAGCAGCCTTCGAAAACAATGGTGGCCGCGTACCGGCAAGAAATCGATCAACAAATTAATCGGCGTGAGAGAATCGACATGGAGAGCGCGCACCGTCTCGCGAGACTATTCAATCCTCCTCGGCGTCGCCGACAAAGTACAAGTTGGACAATAAATTCGAGTTTCTTGCCGGTCGTCGCGCGGTAAAACCGACGATTTAATTCCTCCGCAAGAACTCCGTCGGCCCGGCACAATCGTCGCGGTCGATCGATCGACAAGACTTCTCTCTCTTTCCGACTCGGTCACTCCGCGCCGTGTACATACACGTGTGCGTGCAGCGATCGGATCGGAACGAGAGAAAGATACGGAGGAAACGGCGAGATGATTCGTTCGGGATCGAGGAAACGAAGCATCTCGCACTCCCCTTTCCCGTCTTTCTTCCTCTCGCTGCATCGCCCTTCCCTCCGACCGATTAATCTGCGAGCGCGCGGTTAATCGTTTAACCGGCGCTCGATAGAGCGGTTTCTAATTAGCAGAATGAAATGGAAGAGGCGTGATCGGATCGCCCGACGAGGGAAATCCCTGCGGGATGGTCCTTAGAAAGGAGACGCTGCACGGTCGCGGAGGAATGTAGAAAGATGCAGGACAAAGCAGGGGGACAGAGGGAAGGGAAAAGGGCGGTGCAGAAGACGGCTCGTGCTCGACACGAAGAGCGGGCACGAGGATGAGAGTTAGGAGAGCGGGATGCCGCAAATTGAACCATTACAACTACCTACGCGACCGAATCGCGCCGAGAGTCCTGCGCTCGCGATAGTTACGAGCTCGCTCGCTCGCTCCTCTCGAAGGGCTCTTCTCCTCGTGGCGCGAAGGAACGAACGTCCGGCAAAAACGCGTAACTAGAGCGAACCGAGTACGAAGGAAGAAAATGGACGATGGGGAGGAACGCCAAAGGGGCGGGAAAATATGACGGCAGGCGCGCGCGTAAGCGTGGTGTTGCAAATTGAACCATTTACAACTAACTACCCGAACAAATCATTTCGAACGGGAAAAGACGGTACGATCCTGCGCCGCTCGAAATCCAGCCTCGCGCATCGCGTTATCCCGAGATGATAATATCGTTCTCGAGGTGTTCGCGAGACTCGCGAGCAAAAAGACGCAGGTGAAGCGCGCGTGTACGTGGCGCGAAGATACGGAAGTTACGCGGCGTCCGAGTAATTTAATTTTTTGCCTTAGAAATAGAAGCTCCGGCAACCACGGTGAAATTACCACAGGGGAAATAGAAAATTGCCGGCTTAAAGAGTATCGCGCGCATTGCACGTGTGAAAATTATTTTTCTTAAACGTGGGTGATTCGATCTTAGAGATTACACTGTTCGAACGATGCAATATTTAAAAAAATGATTGCTCCCTGAAAGAAATTATTCCACGTAGTGGAGATGCCTGAAATGCCGACTACTTTTCTTTTTCAGCATTGCGTACATTTATATCGGTATGTTCTGATATTTTATTCGAGTTACAATATCTTTCCGCGAAAGTAACGGCGGCGCTAACAAGCACCGGGGATCTCTCGATTCCGCGCACAAACATCCGAGAATATTCAGCGAGCATTCACGGTGCGCGCGAGATCGAACGGCCGCGACAAGTAGGATCGATACGCGACGAGAAATGCGAGGAATAGCGCGAGTCGAGCGGCGCGAACGAGGAAAATAAAATCTTTACGACCGCAATATCGGAGCGAGCGAAAGCTGGAGAAGAAGGAAGAAGGAAAAGAAAAAGAAACGGAGCGACGGAGCTCGAGGAGGAAGTCCAGCGCGATTTCTTCCGCGCGGCTCGCAGGATCCGGAATAGTTATGGCCTCGTCCTGGCGAGTCCTTCGTGGACTCTTTCGAGAACCGGGAACGATCCTGGAACGACGAGTTCGTCCTCGTCCGGACTAACTTTCCCGCCGCTAACGATCGCACCGGCAACGATGACCGGGACACGCCTTCTTCGAGTTTCGATCTCCGCGACTTATTGGAGTGTCACGCGGCAGGAAGCGGAGGAAGAAGAGGCTGCTTTTGCGAGAGAGCACGCGGGAGAGCGCGTTTTACAGGAGCGTGCCTCGCGGAAGGAGTCGCCCCGAGCGGAGAAGGCGATAATGACGGGCGATGGGCAAACCGCTCCAACCTCGTTCGCGAAGGCGAAATGGCCAGCAAGGGAGAGAGAGAGAGAGAGAATCGAAATAAAAGCCGCGGTGCGTGCAGTTATACGCCGGTTTCTCGGCTTATGGCTCCAGCCGAGGGCTACTTAAACGGATGCCTGCTCGGGACAAGTAGAAGGCAACGCGGCACTTTGTACTAATGTAATGTCGTAAAATACACGGCCAATGCACGGCGATATGCGTGAGCGAAGTTACACAAAATATGCGCGCAACGTCCAATTTCTTACTGCCACGCTCCCTCCCGCCCCGCGACTCCCCTGCTGCCTACTGCTTGACCGCCGAGAATTTACAGCCGCGCGGTAAACCGAGGACAGTTCGATTAAAACCGAGCAAAAACGTCGCAGTGGGGAATTTAATATGAAAAAAGCGGGAATTAATCTGCAAAAGCGAATCGTCGACCCGCATGATCGGAATGATCGAAGCGCGAGTATACGCAATCGAAAAGAAAATATATCCAGTGAAAAACGTGTTAAAATTAACACAAGATGAATATGTTGAAAAGTAACACGAATATTATATAAAAAATTAACAAAATTAATACGTTAATCGACACTAAAGTATAAAAAGCGTTACTTTAATACTTAATGGTATACACATGTTGAATATTAACATAACACAAAATATATTGAGATAACATAAACACAATATATTAAATTACCGCACAGGTATGTCAAAATTCTAACACGAAAATTTGGATAAAGACCGATTTTAACACAAATATAAAATATTTCTTTTTACTATGTACGCGTGTGTGGAATATACGCGATGAAAAACAAAATACCGATCGCGAAAATAATATCGTATATACGATAAAAAGAAAAAATAAATTTCCGACAAAAAATTCTGCTGCACCATGTAAAATCGCGCGTGGAGCACTGGTCGATATTATATATTATACATCGCGCGAAATAGCAGCAAAGGAAGCGCGTAACGATCGGTGACGAAGAACCACCTGTGAGAAGGTAGGACTCGGGCGCGTTCCTTCAACGGGGAGGGACCTGTGCGCGCTATACCGAGCAAGGTGGACGAACGAGGAGGAGGACGAGGTGGAGGAGGAGAAGGCAAGGGGGCGAAGGAGCAGACGAAGAAGGTGGGGTCGCCATGGTCGTGGTCCGCCTGGGAAAAAGAGGACCACGCATTGTGATCCGGCCAGCGAGGAGGCCACGCTAGGCTGACCCTAGGCTTTACATTAACCATCCACCGTGTACACACGCACGTAAATGGCCGCACCGCCACCCCTGGTCCGAGTTGTACCTGCTGCATCGCGTAATCATTGCCCTGCGAGGCGCTCTTTAGTCTTCCTCTCTCGGCTCTCTTTTGTCCACACTTTTTTTCCCTCGCTCCTCTCCCCCTTTCTTCATCTCATTTCTTTCAGCGTAGCTGGGACAAGGTTGAGCAACGGGCTCGCAGGAGACTCTCGCAGAGATAAACAGAGTGGAACGCGCGAGAATTCCCGAAAACGACCGAAGCCCGCAACGGGAATCGTTATCGGCGGACCACGTAATTAGCCGGTGACTTTTGTCCGCCGTAAACGAGCGACTTTCTTTGCCGCGAGCGGATGAGCGAGGATGAACCGCGCCCGTGAGAAAGGTCTTCGGGACTCGGCACACTCATCGCGGGATTTCGGATGGCAACGAGAGAACGGGGCGCGCTCCGGAAACGAGAGACGGAGAATAAGAGGAATGAAAAGAAATTGAACGCCTGGCCGAATTGTGTACTTTCACGTGCGGAGTTGATCGCCGAGTGACAATCTTCGAGACAATCGCCGCGCGATGTAAGTGGTCCGAGGTGCGTGTGGACTCCGCTATTATTTTCGTTGACCTCGACTCGGGACAATCGCGGCGAACGGATCGTCGCGAGAGCGAGATCGGATAAAGAACGCGAAGCGAAGCGAGGAGAGATGATACGTGTTGATATGGAAAGTTTCATATTTCGCGGGATTAGGTGCCGCCGCGCCGTCGCTCGATTTTACGACGCGATACCCGGCATACAAAAAAAGAAATGCTCTCACTCACCCTCAGGGCAGATGCACTCGTAGGTATGTTCGCCAAGCTGACGGCACGAGCCTCCGTTCTCACATGGCGACGGATCGCAGGGGATGTATTCGCTTTCGCAATTTTGTCCGGTGTATCCGCTCGAGCACATGCATCTGCAAAAGACAAAAACGCATCCTTGAAGATCCACCAAATTTGTAGTCGAAAATTATTCGTGAGTTGTTGTTATTATTCGTAAAAGTACCACTGGATATATCTAACTGCGAACATTCTTGTTGTTTTAATCTTTCAGTACGAATGTTTAATCTTTAAATATAAAATACTTGTATATGTCCTACATATGTACACATATTCTACGTTGAAAGTTTGAATATTCGTAGTTAAAGATTAAAACGATAAAAATGTCCAGAGTTAGATACATGTCCAGGCATTAGTACATTTACTTTAAAACTTGATAAATTCATTCGTGATCAAAATTTATAAAATTAAAGCTTCCTCCCCTTCTTTAAACGAGAATATAATTCAGATTTCTCTGAATGTTCCCTGCATGAATTCTCTTCGGGAGGTCTTTTTTTTGCGGAGTAATCTGATTCTGTTTGGTAATTTTTAGAAGCGCGAAAACGACACACCATACGCGCAATATCGACTTTCCGTGCAGACGGACGTCGCGCAAGAAGATCCAACAATGAAGACGCAAAACAATTCGATCGATTTCGCGTCGGTGTCAACGGTGGAAAAAACACGACACCGGCGATCGTGCATTGCTCATCTTGGACGATAGAGAAAACTTGTTAAAAATGTCTAATATTTTTTTTGGTAAAATACCATTCCCGTATTAAAAGGTCGGCGCGGCACCACGGAAAGCGGCAACTTGCTTTAGTTGCTTCAATTAAACTCGCCATGCCAACATGACATTTATCGCGTCACGTGACATTCATTGACGCAAGTCACATATAAGGTTAATTATTTCTCACAAGTATTCTGTCCAACTAATAATTTCGCGAAGACCATTTTATACGACTACGGTCACTCCCATCTTATAATTTTCTGGAAACCTGTGTGTACTGAAACGCAGCAGATGTCAACAATGACGTCATCGGATTAACGGTTCGTCGGTAACGAGGTATTGACGTGATTTCGCTCGATTTTATTCCGAACGCGCGCACAAGATCACGATAGTGCGAACGCACCTTGAGCTCACGACGAGCAGCAGTAGCAGAAACGCATGCGTGAGATTCATTTTCACTGGTAATCGATGGGTGGTCGCAGCAGCGGTGGAACGTAATCCTCATATTTCGACGAGGAGCCCTATCTCGCGAACGCTCACTCCATTTTCCCGAGAACAAAACCCACCCCGCTTCCTCGTGTCACGAATACAACAGATCGGGCACATCCACGGTAAAAGAACACCTCACTGATATCCTCACAGGACTTCGATCAAACTTCCGCGATTAAAACCCCTCACGGTTCACTATGTCAACACTGTCTTCAGGCCGCACCGGGGAGCGTCGTATAATCCAAAAATAACAAGAGTAACAAGGGAAAAAAAACAGTCAACAATAATCCCACCACAGAGTAAAAACGATCGGTATACGTAGGATATAATATCACGCTAAGGACAACGTTGGAGTGTAACGAAATAATGCAGAGTCGGATGACGGTTCGATAACGACGATGCAACAGTCGCGAAAACTCACTGTGTCCGGACGAGTCGGGCGTGCGTCGTGAGCCGCGGAGGGCGGACGTAAAACGAGACGAAAAACTCGGCGGTCACACGACGCTCATCGTCGTCCTGACGCGTGCACGTCGCGCGATATCACCGCGGCGACGCCGGAGCGCGGCGGCTTTCCCTTCGTTCGCGGCAAGACGCGAGCAGATCGTCGGGCGTTCTCCTTTTCATCGTTCCCGCTATTTCATCTCGTTCTCACACCCGGCGTCCTCAGCTCCGCCGGCGCGATTTTCTCCGCTCTCCGAAAGCCGCCCCTCTCCCGAAATACCAGACTCCCGCGATTTCGGAGCGATCGCTTCCCAATATGGCGTCGCGGCAGACACTTTTCCGGCTCCGCGAGAGAGACGCGGAACGACGTCTCTTCGACTGCTCGGTCACGCGAGGGTGTACGACACGTCCTGCGCGTTTTCCTTCTTCCACGATACCATCCACCGTTTTCCGGCTTTCCGCAGGATGCCGATGATCTTCGCACCGAAGTTCACGTCGTTACATGGCGCCAACCGGGACGCTTGAGCGTATCCTCCAACTCGTCACGGACGCAAGCGACGTCGGGAATGAGAGAGCTTCAAAACTGTAAAACTTTCCTTCGATATAGCTTCTCATTCTCGGTCAAAGTTCCTCGCGGAATTCTCCTCTCGTGGCTCCGACTCGCCGTGGAATGCGAAGCACACGAAGCCGAAACGACGCCTCGGCGAGTAAGGCGAAAAACCGATGAACAACGCGGGCAGGCAATGCGGTGAAAAGTCCAGGTCGAGCGATCGCGACACGTCCGCTGACTCTCGTAATCGCACGCGATTTAACGCGACCACCTGTTTTCGTAGCGGGCGCGCGCGCGCGCACTGAACGGAGACTGACGGGGAGGCGCGCGCGAAACGTGCGTCGTTCTCGGACGGCTGGCGGCTGACTAATCTTATCTTCGGCGGCGCACCGTTCAGAGGACGCCACCGTCGCGCGCGACTGACCCCACCGGTCCCTCGCACCCCTTGTTGCGCGCGGGTCGCGTTCGCCGCTCCTCCGTCGTCCTGCGCGCTTTCTCTTTCTCTTCGCCGACGTTTCGTCTGGCCTCTCCTCTCTTGCTCGCGCGCCGCTTATTCTAGCTCCTCGGCTGGTATTCGATCGCACGGCAGAAACCTGGTACTGTGTCCCGGCAGGAACGATGTCCGTGGTAGAAGAAAGAAAGGAAGGAAAGAAGGATCGCGGTCAACGTTATCGCGCTTCGTCTCGCTGCTCCGAGACGTTGTTTCTGCCTAAGAATGTTCTTATCTTGAGATGCGGAGGGTCGAGGGATTTCCGGTTTTAGTCAATATTAACTGTAGTGTCCGAACGCATCTTTCTTCCTTGGTCGGGAAAATTTCGGACGTATTCTGTGCGAACACCTTCACGCACGTTTTTACCGTCGACACAGCCCGGTCCTTCCCAAATATGCACTGAGTCCCGGCCACGTCCGACGCGGATTTACATATTTACGTCGCCGCTGTGTAAACGAGACCCAAACGAAACGTGTCCCGGGCGGAAAATAGCGATTAAGGTGTGTTTACTCAGATACTTAAGCACGCGTTCGATTCAGGGGAGATTCAGTCGCTTTTCAAGGAATTTGTGTACTTTCGGAGAAACCAATATTTCGAATATTTAAATATCGTTCCAATGGAAGCATTCGAATATTCTTCCACCACTGTTCGTGAAAAACAAGATATGCGAATATTCACGATATGGCTTAAAAGAATTTTATTTTTAAGTTTTGCTTTATTTTGAATTTATAATATTCTATTCTATAACACGTCATTGCTATGGGGGTTACCGGTTACCAACACTATGATATGCCGTCTCTCATTAATTTATATATGAATAGTTAATTTATGCAATCAATTTCCTATATAAAACTAGATAGATGGCTAATAAAGCCGATAAAACAAGTTTAAAAATAAACACATCATGAAACGCGTTTGTCTCTACCGTGTTTTCGGTTATTTCAATTTTAATTAAGAGTTGAAATAAATCAACGTGGTAGTCAACGTGAATACTGGAGACTAAACGGGAAGATATAAAGTCAGCATCATAGCAAAAATGGAAATACAAGAATATCCCTATATTTTAGAACTGGCACACACGCGCTCATAAAGCGAAAAAGGGAGGGTCTCGCGATTGCCGGGCCGCGTTTCGTCGTCATCGACGATTAACTCTCGCTGCGTTTAAAGTATCCGCTGACAAATTGTAAGAACTGTGGCGCGGTAAAACGGACTCGAGATGACGATGACGACGATGGTGTCGTCGAACGAGTGCGTCGTCTCGCCGACATTCAACGTTTGATCACAGAGCGGATTATACGCGCAAAGAACGGATGTTAGATTACTCATACAACCGCTACAAGCGGGGGTGGTCGAGTGAGAAGTTTAATTTTCGCCTGTTTACCCACGTTATACGCAGCGCCCCAAACGAAAAGAAGACCTGCGGGTAGCAGGCGCCCCGGGGCGCGTTTGAAAATGCGAAGGGGGATGATCTGCGTTTTTCAGTTCCCCGCATGATGATACTTGGCTGGCCGAAGATCCCCTTCTCTCTCTTTTTCTCTCCCCGAGGAGAGCCCGTAGCCGAGACTCGTAACACCCGAGCAGTCTCCCTCGCCTAATCCATTATTCCGCGCGGCTGACCGCGAATGATTTCCGATACATTCGATTTTCGAGAGGCCGCTCGATCGTACGTAGATTATCGCTTTCGCGCGGCCACGACGACGACGAGCCGCGCTCAATGGCCCGGCGAGAATGTTAGATTCGTTCCACTTGCATTATGGAAAACAAGATCGCAAGAACGCACAATGCAGGCACGGGTGCTACTGCGTACACGGGATACGCCTTGCTTCGCCGTAATGCGCCCCATGATGGAAAGTGGAATTCTGCATTGTTGCCGCGAGCGGTGTGCCCGACTTTGATCGTGATGTCTGCGGCGATCGAAACGTCCGCGATAAAAACGCTGAGCTGAGACTTCTCTTACTTTTTTTTTGTCAATTAACATAACGATTTCCGTCGGCAACTCTGAAGCGAGCACGTGAGTGCGATTGTGTGTGACCTCTGACTTTCATTCTCGATATCCACTTTGAAAAATGGATTCACGATTCTATCGTACGTGACTTAATGTTATATTACTATTGTCATATTGTTAAAAATACACACAACACAGAATATATTGTTAAAATTGACACGAGAATAGAGCACGCGATAAATGTTAATTATTTACTAAAAATTATAGTTGACGGATTATTAATTTTTGTATATGAAATTTTGCGCAAGGTCCCGAGACGTTTGCATTTTAAACTGAGCATCGACGAAGATACGACGAGGACACGACGGCGCACGCGGTGCGCCAACGCGCGCGCTCGTGTTCCGTCGAAAAAGACGCGAGCCCTCGGGGGTTAAAGGGTTTCGCATAATTACAGTACAACGAGCCTGCGAGAGATAGGAAGCCGTCGCTTCGCGGTTAAGAATCACGCCGGATTTTTCTCCGCAATTAATTATTGTCCGGTCACCTTAATTAATTAGTCATCGGATAAGCGGCGAGATTCCTGCGCCAATTAAGACCTCAGCGTCTAAGATCGGGCCTAGGCTCGACGCGCAGCGCGTTTATGTCGACGCGATCGCCGCACGGTGCACCTTCGGGCTCACGATCGTGCAAGCTTAATGGAGGTAATCGACGCCCGCAGCCGAACGTATCTTCGCGATAAAGTCTAATCGACAAGTATAAACATCTCACGCGGCAGATCGCCCTAAGAAAAATCCGCCGTCGATGGTCACGAGGCAGCAACTAAATAAATCCACGATAAGTGAAGGAAATAGTGATACACTTCGGCGATAGAAAGATACGAACTATCCACCGAGCAACGCTCTATCCGTGAAGTTTTTTACCGCTTCACGAGCCAACCGGCCATCTGCCATCGCACGGTCTCGAATAATTCCAACTATTCATTTCACCATCGGAATATCGTAATCGAGGAGCACGAAGCGGCGTCGGAGGACGAAGGAAGACCGCGACCGATCCACGCTCATTTCTCAAGGGCCGACCCGAGAAATTTGCAGCCCGGACAAAAAATCGCTTTTTCACAGGACTGCCCCTTAATGCGCGCTCTCGAAGCTGCGAAGCGGTGGGTAAAGGGAAGAAAGAACCGGCGGGATTAATCGAAAGTCCGCCGATGAGCCTCACGCGGGCCGTCGAAGGTGACGTTTTGTCATTAGCCTCGGCCCGAAAATTGATACGCGGCCGCGTGGCGATTTAATTGACGTCAAATTGGAGCGCGCACGATAGATTGGATCCACGACGAGAGGGCGCTTCTCGAGATGAGCTTCGCAGAAGGGACGAACTGGAGAAAGGGAGATCGATTCCTCCGGCTCGTTCCTACCGATCGTCTTTACCACGCCATCAAATTTCGCGATGAAAGCATCCTCGGCTGGAATATTAAGTGCGCCGCGGTTAATAACGTTCCTGCGCTTACAGTCCCCCGATACGCGGATGTCCGATTACGGCAAGGCCGTACGAAAAATTACGGCAAGAGTTACGGTGGCGTCGCGGATAACACCAGTGCGCGAGAAACACCTGTCAAGTAATTCTCGCCTGCATCTTTATCGATGCCTCTCGCGTGATTTATGCGACCGGCGAAGACGCGAACAGCGCGAGCCGTGTGTTCCACATTTTTTCTTTCCCCTCCGTTTCATTCGTCGTTATTAGTAGACTATTATTCACTAGCGAAAAACTATCGCGAGAACATCCTTGCAGGCAGGATTTTTTTAAACTCTCTAATGGCTCGAAAGGTGGATTTTCAATATATCCAGAAAAGTGGGGTCAGATCTGACCCCATACTCGGTTTTACTCATTTTTCGCGCAAACAGTATGCAAAATGGATAAAGGAAATAGATAACAACATGAAACATTTTTTAAGAAGAGAAACGGCGCGTAAAATACACGCTGCAAAATAAATGAAGCTATGAGGTCAGATTCGAGCGCAATTTGCTATTAGAGGGTTAACTCGGTAGCGTGTCAACATTTCTCAAGCCGGCGTTACGCGCTTCTTTTTCCGTTTTATTCGCCGCTGAAAGGATGTCCCTCGCGAAGACATTTTCCCGGAGAGGGGAGGATTTTTCAATTGTGAAACGTATCGATATATTTTTGATGCCGGTGTGCTGTCTCGCGTGCGGTAAATGCAAATCGAACTTCCGGTTCCGCAGCTACGCAATATATCTCGATGATTTATATAACGCGCTCG